CAGTTTATTGACTAAAATCAACTGTGGTTATCAACATGTTATCATAGTGACTTACATTAAGGTTAGGCAAGTACTACTCTGTCAACACTAAATCTGAGAGATCCTTTCTATAACTCCTACAAAGCAATTTTCTAAGTTTTTTTACATTAAAATTTTCAAAACATTCAATTTCTAGTCGTTATCAAGCACAAACGTCCTTACTCTGTGTGCCAATTATAGCATTCTCTTCCCTTTTAATGAAAGAGCACAAGAGCCTTCTGAAAAACTATTCTAAATGTTGACATAAAAATAACAATCTAACAACTAAAAAAGATTTTGCGTAAAATTGAACGTGCCATCACCTTGGTATATATAACTGCTCTTGAACCCTGCATTATGGAAAAGGAAACAGATCTCTAATTATTCATCCTGACCACTGAGACGATGACAGAGTCTCATTTTAGAACGCCGCAAACTCAAACTCGGTTATCTCGAACGTATTTCATGTATTTCAGTCATCTCTGTCTGTAAAATATGTCCTTCGTTATCCTCCCCCCCCCTTATACTTCAGAGAACACAGCATTGATCATGGTCACATCTAATGAAAAAATGAAAACCATTTTTAGATCTACCCACACCCTAATAAGACCCCAACCCCAATAGGCGCTACCCCCTAGCCCATAATATCAAACAAGCATTTTTTCTCACTTTGTCAAACAGTTTGGATACAAGGAAAACCTGTATTTATTTCCATTTATATATAGTTTCTTAGTGAGCGTCCCCCCTCCCCCGCTTTTAAATAAGAGCTCGGGTGCTTATTCGAGGAAATATGGTGATTGAAATGCACAAGAATATGAAGAACTGACCCACAACTTTTTTGTGTGCACGTTAACAAGAGTTGCTATGGGCTCTTCATTGGAGAAATGTAATGTTTACCCAACCATGACCGACGCTATTACGGCAACATTCATTTTGTTGATTTGTTCCATTGTTAAAAGATCCTCCCCCTCCCCCACAGGAAATATCCTCATTAACCCCGCCACTTCCCCCAGTGTAACCACCACCACCGCCCGGTCCCTTGTTCAATGAACTTAAACCACCACCACCTCCGAACCCACCAGAAAACGCTCCACCCTCTCCCCCCTGAAGATATCCTGAACCTCCTTTTCCCCATCCTTTCCTATAGCTCGTTGCATTATGTCCATTACTATGGAAGCCACCACCACCACCACCTGCAATACAATCAAAAAGTGATCAGTGATTCTCTTACAAATAGCACCCATAAATTTAATTTCTCGCGATCAAACGACGATCCGCGGTGTTCCGAAACTTAGTTTAGTTCTTTATTTTTAAAGTTTAATTAGTGGAGATTGTTAGTAACAAAAAAGCTCGCGAGGAAAAGTCAGCGTAAAAATGCTGCAATTGACTCTTTATTTAGTTCTTCTGTTTAATCCAGATCTGCAGTTAACGAATGAGAAGCCTTGTCAAGTTTTTCGATGTCATCTCCTGCGTTATATTTGCGGATCCATAATTCATTCGATAATTCACTAAATATGCAGGAGATTTGAAAAGAAAAGAGCAAAATTTAACAAAATCCTAAGTCTTGTATGAGGCGCTTCAAAAGAATCATATAAAAAAATCTTCAAAATTGATATTGAAAAAATTTAATAATTACGGTTTTTATAAATCCTTCAAAATCTGATTATCAGCGACTTACTCTATCATTGGGTTGGAGATAGTGAAGGATGGCAATAGAATGCAACAAATTTCTCAGTATTTATAAAAAGGAAATTCTCCACCAACCAGATTTCACACCATTAGTAAGTCCTCCTTGTCCTTCTATTCCAGCTGACCTCAGTGGCGAGATGTTCCCTGCATTCCCTGTGGTGTCTTGGGACGCATCACATCCCGGATGTTGTTCTGACATATTTTTGATTCCCCCTCCACCTCCA